CGGTGAGGAAGGAGGAGAACCACTGCATAACAGTGCCTCCCACTCCTAACTCACCGAGACGCCGCAGCATGATACCGTGGTCCACGGTATCAAAAGCCGCTGAGAGGTCCAAAAGCACAAGGACAGAGGAATAACCCCTGTCCCGGGCCCTCCAGAGATCATTTACCAACGTGACCAATGCCGTTTCCGTGCTGTGTCCTGGCCTGAAGCCCGACTGGTATGGGTCTAGATAGTCTGTTTCATCCAGGTGCCGAGGGAACTGCCGCGCAACCACACTCTCAAGTTGATTTGAACCCAGGACTTCCAAACCAAATTCAAGGACCAAAGTATCGTGTCATCCTTACTTTTCTCCCTTGTGGCCCTGACGTTCCTCTGCTGCCATCTGGCCCTTTATTGCCCTGCGGTTTAGAAAGAGAGAGAGAAAAAATCAGTTTGGTAGGGCATTCTTCACAGCCGTTTCCCTCCTTGTGTTGTGGTCCCAACCATCATTCAAAGAGAAGAAGTTCTTCTGGCCTTCTAAATCTCCTTGAATCTGTGGCAAACTTCCAAAACGGTGCTCCCCGGGAGATGAAATTAAGGAGTCACCAGCACTGGTGCCCCAAAATGAGTTTAAAAGACAACACAACCTTAAATCCTTTGGTGCCATTTTGACCAGGTAGACCAAGTGGACCTTCTTCTCCCTGGAAAGACAAAAGATTTCATCTTAAACGTTTCCAAAACAGCAAACCTGAAATCAAATCAAATCTATTCTATTCTATTCTATTCTATTCTATTCTACTGTCTGTTCTACTCTACTCTACTCTACTCTACTCTACTCTACTCTACTCTACTCTACTCTACTCTACTCTACTCCACTCCACTCCATTCTATTTTCTGTTCTACTCTACTCTACTCTACTCTACTCTACTCTATTTTATTCTATTTTCTGTTCTGTTCTACTCTACTCTACTCTACTCTACTCTACTCTACTCTACGCTACTCTATTCTAATTAAAATTAATGCAATCCAGCTTTGTGCAATGGTCAGCGGTAGCTGGAAGCAAATCTGATTACACCTATTGTGTTCTAAAATCAAACTGCTTTTAATTCCTTAAAATGTCGGGATTAAGATTCAACTAATTCTTAATTATTATTATTATTTTAAAAAAGGCTTACTGCAGATCCTGGAAAGCCAGGTAGTCCTTTATGGCCTGGAAATCCTTGGAGACCAGAAGGTCCATTAAAACCTGGAGGTCCTCTTCTCCCTTGGAGACCAAGAGAACCCTGTAGAAGAAAATGGAGCAAGCTGACCTTTCAGATGTGGTCTCTGATCATCATGTTCTCTAAAGAAGAAAACAGGCTATTTGTGTTTTGTTGTTTCTCCAGCCAAAATGAATTCAGTCTTGTACGGGGGTCTTCAAACTCAGCCCTTTTATGCCTGGCTGAGGAATTCTGGGAGTTGAAGTCCATGAGTCATAAAAGGGCCGAGTTTGAAGACCCCTGGTCTTGTAGATTTGTGTCTGGCCTTTCTTGCTGGTTGAAATAGATTTTAAGACTGAAAACTAACACTGGGACGCCTGCTATTACTGCATCTCTCATACATGGCATGATACTCTACCTGTTCACCTTTGCTTCCAGCATCTCCTTTGGCACCTTGTAAGCCTCGGTCCCCCTAAAAAAGGTAGCAAAAGAAGAAAGGACAAAAGCCACAAAAAAGAAAGGACACCTATCGGGACTGACTCTAGATGGAATCGGTCCCTGGTTTTCCAAAATTCAGATTCTCTAAAATCAAATTTTTGAAGACAGGAGATAAGCCAAAACTTTCTAAGCTTTTGAGCATCTTGTTTTTATTTTCCATCAACCTCTTGTAGAAGCAGAAGATTCTCCTGTAAATTAAGGTTCTTTAGATCAATGGGACTAGCTTCCTGACAGTGAGGACAATTAACCAGTGGAACGACTTGCCTCCAGAAGTTGTGGGGGCTCCATCACTGAGTTTTCAAGAAGAGACCGGACAGCCATTTGACCTGTGTTGTATAAGGTGTCCTGCTTGAGTAGGAAGTTGGACTAGAAGACTCCTAGGTCCCTTCCAACTCTGTTATTCTATGTTCCACATTCTATGTTCTCACATCTCCATGCCTTTAGCCATTCCCCTTTTCATAACAAAGTTATAAAAATACAATAATGTACTAATGTAAGGAAGCTGTATCTCCTAGGTGGTTTTGATCACAACTCTCAGTGGTCCATCAAGCTAGCCGTGCTAGCCGGAGCCAGTCATAGCTTATCCTCAGTTATCTCTGGAGGGTTTGAGGACCCTACAACTGTTCTNCCAACCTTAGGAGAGAATGATCTGACCATGACAAGGGCTCAACCACTATCTCCCCTACTGTCAGATCACTCTGCCACTGGCCAGAGACAAAAACTAGATCCAGTGTGTGTCCACCCGTGTGAGTGGGGGTCTGAATTAACTGGGTCAAGTCCAAGGCCGTCATGGAAGCCAAGAACTCCTGAGCTGCCGCCGACGTCTTATAATGTGCAAGGAAAAACAATTGGGATAAGGTTAGATGCAATTGCTTACAACAGTAATGTAAAATAGGAACTCTTGCAGATTGAAGATTAAACTGCTTTTTCTGATTATTGTGATCCTGAACACCCTTGAGGATTGATTGGGAAATTCCTCTAAATATTGTGAGATGAGTGCAAGAGTGATCCAATCTTAGATTATCCTTTCCTTCCACAGCAGCAGTTTTATCCTTTATCCCAATCCTCAATAAAGGCTTTTGGGGGGAGGGTGCAGGAGGTTACATAGGATGAAGAGATTAAATTATTCTATCAGTTTTAAATTCAACTAAATAAGGATCAAGTTAATACACTTCCTAGTTCCATAATAACCACTTAGGATTCACTGCTCAATCCAGACTTCAACTTCATAGAAAAAAATAGCAGAAAGCAATGATAAGACAGACAATTTGGTGTATTGGTTAAGGCATTGAACTAGAAACCAAGAGACTATGAGTTCTAGTCCTGCCTTAAGCACAAAGCCAATTAGGTGACTTTGGATCAGTTACTTTCTCTCAATTTCAGGAGGATAGCCCTGGCAAACCATTTCTGAAAAACCTTGCCAAGAAAACTTGTAGAGACTTGTCCAGGTAGTGTCTAAGAATCAGATATGATCGAACAGAAGAAAAAAAAAACATGCAGAGAGTCTTAAGTTAAGTATTTCCTTAGGCAAGTATAATATCAAATACCTGCACATCATACAGTGTTATCTATTCTATTCAGGTGTCTGTAAACCCCACACACTGACAAAAATAAGGCTGAGAGTCTTCCTTTTTGGTCCACCATGTATTCAGATCTGATTTGGGCTGGCATGATTCCTGGACACAATAAAATCTCCCAAGTTATTTCCTCTTATCTTAAACTATTTATCTAACTATAATTTATTGTGATTCCAGAAGATCTGGCATTTGACTGTTATTGCATTTCCTAAATGGACTTTAGTAATGGATTGCACAGAAATATTACTACTGTACATCATGCACTCTAAAACATACATTGTAATGAGAAAAAATGGTATTGTCTATCCCACTTCTTTCAATATTTTCCAGAATTAGTGAAAGTGTGGATTAATTCATTATACTTACTGATACTCTAGAGCTGGCTCGAACTCTTGCTACAAATTCTCTCTCCTTCTCAGCAGCTTGTCTTTGGACCCGCTGGAAATTTGTAAGTGTTGTGGTGAACTCATTCACTAGTCGATCCTTTTGAATTCTTCTCTGTCGCTGAACAAAGAAGGCAAACAAATAAATCAAAGTAATTTCTCCCCAAACCAGTTCTTTAACTAATCTGCTGAACTTTGGAGAAATTTAATTTTATACAATGTTCAACTATTGGAATTTGACAGGCCTCTACATATAGACTGGCTTCACGTATCATATGATACTGTTATATTACACTATAACGTAATGTGTGTACCCAGCAAAGAATTGTTCTATACAATTCCATGTCTCATTCCAATGGAAATCAAATCCTTTCTTTAAAATGAGTGTCAAACTGGTAAAAATTCAATCACTATGACAAAGTATTCTGCAATCATTTACCCCAATTCTTTTTATGTAGTTTTATAAAGTATATAATTTAAATATGTATGTATTTAATACATATGTTGATTTCAATTCAGTTTCTTCTCCCATCTATCTATCTATCTATCTATCTATCTATCTATCTATCTATCTATCTATCTATCTATCTATCTATCTATCTATCTATCTATCTATCTATCTATCTATCTATCTATCTATCTATCCATCCATCCATCCATCCATCCATCCATCCATCCATCCATCCATTCACCCAGTTTAGATGGTCGCCCAACTCAATGAGTGACTTTAGGTTAAATTAAATAAAAATAAAAATAATTACAAACATTATAAAAGTTAAAACTCAAAGCAGCCAAAAAGCACAGAACCCAAATCATTAATATTTTATACCCATTTGCAATTTTTTAACGTTCATAGAAAAAAATGTGTTCACCTTCATGTACATTCCCAACATACACATTTTCTTACGTTCTTTTTCAAGACTGCATTGCAAAATGTGGGGATATGTGTATATAACTATATTTCAATTAGGGAATATAGAGAAGTGGAGATGAGATTCACATTAAAATGCAACCAAAATAATTTCTTCACCATCATTATTTATGACAAGGTCAACTATTATTATAATATCCCTGGATATTAAAATTATTTTCTTTATAAAGATGCTAAAGTTTTGCACATCAGTGAAATTCCCATAATCCTTTTTGAATGGATTGTATGGAAGTATAAATGTTTAGACATCTAAATGGACATGGGGAGTGCTTTTAAGGGTTGCCAAACCAGTTCAAACAGACATCTATTTTGGGTAATTGTGACCTACCCAAAGATATCCATATTCTAGTAGCTCCTATGCCAAACTACTCAGAATATTTATTAACCACATGTATATTCTGCATTTCCTTTAGAAGTTCAAGGTGGTGTACATGGATATCTCTTCTAATTTTTCCCCCCTGCAACTGTATGGGGTAACTTGGGCAGAGAACTAACTAAAGTCATCAAGAAGAGGACTATCAAATAGATAATTCAACACGGATTTCTTTGGCCCTAGTCCCTCTACTTTAGGTACTACATACTACATCTGGTAGATAGGTAAATAGGAATGCAAGAAATATACAGGAAGTCAGGGTCCCATTGATTTTATAAATCCATTTGATGGGACCACGTAAAAGGACCTTTTCAGTGGTAGCCTCTTCTCTATGGAACATCAAGAGCCCACCCTGTTGTTTTCCCGAAAGAACCTAAAAACATGGTTTTGTCAGTGGACCTGGGGACCATGAATGGAGAAGGAGCCAATCAAGTGATTGATTTGATTGTATTGCTGCTGCCATGGAGGTGAGGGTGGGGTTATAGGAGGTTAGAGGGAGTCATGGTGGCATAATGGTTAGAATGCAGTAATTGACTCTGCTCACTGCCAGGAGTTTGATCCTGATTGGCTCAAAGTTGACTCAGCCTTCCAAGATCAGTAAAATGAGGACCCAGATTGTTGGGGGCAATATGCTGACTCTGTAAAGTGCTTAGAGAGGGCTGCAAAGCACTGTGAAGCAGTAGATAAGTCTAAGTACTATTGCTATTATAGGTTTTTATGTTATGGATTTTTATATGTTGTAAGCTGCCTGGAGTCATCTATGTGTGATTTGGGTGGCCATATAAATTTGTTTTAACTAACTAACTAACTAACTAATTAATTAAATATAATCCTCTGATAAACTGAACATCTGTTTCTAACACATGTGTGCTGGATCAATTTAAATGAAAAAGTATGAATAACTTAACTTCTCCTTTCTCAAAAGACCAGGAGGCTATTTACAGCACAAACAACATGAAACCAAACGTTATGCTATATATCTTTTACATAAACATCCCCCAAGAGAATAGTTATCAAGAGGGATGTGCAAAACATTTCAACCTTCAGCCACCTGTTTTGATCTCAAAATAATACATCCATATTTCAAGCATTTTAGTCCAATCTCACATCTCTTCTTGATGTGAAGATTTTTCCCCTAGCCTAGTCAAATCAGTAGTTGGCAATTGCCCTACTGCTATTAATTTAGAGAGGGCAGGATGAGGTGGGAGAGAATATGGTGAAGAAAGCAGTGGGTTAAACACATACCAAGAGAAAATGAAACTGCTTAGAGAAGAGTGTCTGCCAGGCAAATTATTGCTCTTTTGAAAAGATTCTATGCTATAGTAGAGAACTTAAGTGTGTATTCAGATAATGAGATTGTTTTCTTGGCTGTTATTCTTCAAGTTAAGAAACAGTATCAGATTACACATACCCCAATTCATTTACATGCTCAAACAAAAACTTCCCTTATAATATCACAATAAAGTTTGTGGGGGGGGGGGAACATGCCAAACTTTCTATCTGATCTTAGTGGGATAACATGGCTATTACAAACAAAAGGATGCTGCATTTTTAGGAACACTTTTACGGAAACTTCTCACAGAAATTTTGTTTTTAAAAAAGTACATTTTGTGCATATCTGCCTGGTTTGTCTGTCTGCAGTAAAGGAGAAGTAGTAAGTGAAAACAGCTGAGAGGTTAGCTTTTCTGTCCTATTAACATGTCAGCCCAGTAGTTCAGGAATTATTTAAAGAACTTAAAAATATAGTACATCTTTGCTGAAATTAAAATCTCCAGCTCTACCAATAAAAGATTCTAACCTGAACAAACTGCTTTTTCAGTAGGTGACAGCAGACTTGTATTCCCTTGGTTCCTCTGGGGATTTACAGTATTTTAATATTTTACAAACTGTTTTTAAAAATACTCTAGATTCACCAATGTTCCAGCAACATTGTCCAGTAGCAGTCAGCATGGACTGCCATTTCACCTTCTTTTGCAGCCTTTATCCTAAATTTCATTGTTATCTCTGAAAGAATTTCAAGATTTATCATATCAGAACATAGCCAATTAAAAGAAATTGATGGAACCTTTCAATTTGGGTGTTTTATCCTAAACGTGAAACAAGATGTGTTTTTTATTTGGTGTGTTTCCTATCTACTATCAAGAATTGGAATTCAGGAATTTGGAGGGATGTCACCAGATATGGAAAAGCTGCTGTTTCAGAAATTTGGACTAAGTCCACAGAATTTGGGGTTTCTTTAATCTTTATCCTTTATCTCTCTTGTTTAACACACATGCCGAGTAGTACTCACCAAGCAAAGAAGAGGCAACTTTTAAAAACAGAGTTGTCCTGGATTTTTTTAATTCACCAAGATAGCAACCTAGTCAATGGCTATGTTATGCTATGCTATGTTATGCTATGATATGAAGATAGTTCTAAATATTTGTTATAGTTTTATCATTAGACTCCTATATTCCAAATGTAACCATTGACAGTCACATAATTGCATATTCTAAAAAAACAGCAATCAATCATCAATAGGATGATTGCATAATTTTACAATCTGTGCTGTTACAATGATTATAATCGGCAGGCCAACCTATAATCCAAACAGTTCAGAAATATCTAGCTTTTTAACTGTGACAAATACACCAACTTCTTTTAGTATGTTTTCCTGTATTTGCCTCAGGAATCAATGCTTGCAAGCACATATCACAGAATTGGAAGAATAACAAAACTTTATAAAAAAAACCAAACTTTTTATACAAACACTACATTCATATACCTGCTCACTTATTGAAGGCAGAGATCCAAATTCTTTTATGTATTTGTCTGTCTCTTTCGCAAGTTGATTTGTATATTGCTGCTTTTGTTGCCTAAGAGAGAAAGTTACAGGTGACTTACTGGCTTACTTTACAAACATTACTGTATCACTATCAACTGTCTTTAAGATAAACCTTTGGGAAAGAGATGTTTATTATTGAATGTGTCCAAAATAACTCCTGGCTTTAGTTCAATGCAAACCAAAAGCAAAGAATTGAATAGCGCTGAAGCAGATTTCATTTCATAAAAAGAATAGTTATTGATCAAAATTGGTGACATAAAATCTACAAAAGAAATTTAGTATTTATACATAAAGAGGCTCACAAAATCTTCACTTTGAATTTATTGCAGTTTGACTGCAACATTCAATGATAAATGTCAAAGGTAGCAAACGTGTAGTTCAAACTTTCTGAATCAATTTGATGGCTTTTATTAGCTCAATGATGGGGGGGGGAGGTTGTTTCCATCTGGGTGTCTGGCAATGCCAACAATATACTTGATGTATTAACATGTCAATAAACAGATAAATGTTCGCTCCCTCTCTCTCTTTCATTTTGTTCTCAAATGTTTTCAAGATGCTAAGCACTTTGATAAGATCCCAGCATTTATTGAGAAGTTATCTACAATGCAACCAAATGAAAGGTCATCTCATGAAGCACTTACAGCTGTTGCCGCAATTCATGTGTGTCTTGTGGGGTTCCAAGTTGATTCAGTATTCTTTGTATTTCTGCAGCTGTTTGGGATGGAGTGGGGAAGAAGAAGAAGAGATTTTGTAAGTGATACAGTTCCACCAAAACGTCATGCATCCCTAATTGAAAATTCAGAAATACATACCAGTTAACAGGGTTGGAGAAGATCCAATTCAACACAACTACTGTAATATACATGCACACTGTATAAGATAGATCATAGTATATCTGAACCAGTGAAAGCTGAACCCTCTCCAACCACATTTTAAAAACCTTTTAGCATTTTAAGTAGAATTGATGCTACACAAATACCTGTAGTGCTTAAGAAAAATGCTTACTTGATAGCAGTAATTTCATATCTTCAATCTTATGTTAAGAGAACAAGAAACGTAGATCAAAACAGATCAAGCAGAAGAGCCTAAATCCCTAACAAGGTGCAGGTGATTCCTTTCTGTATCATTTCAGGCAATGAATATACTACAGTTGTGACGAATACTGGCACATAAAGATTTTGAATCTAGCTTTTAACCCTCTAAAATGTAAAGAGATTACTTATAATTTAGTAAAAAGAAAGAAGGATTGTATGTGGGGCTGATCTGTTGTTGTAATTAGGAATCCTATTTTAAAAATTCCAACACCTTCACCCATATGTACATAAATTATGGGATATGCTCACTAGAATTAACCCTTTACATATACATCAATTGGCACATGAAATCAAGAATGAAAAGATTTGCATTTTGTAATCACGGATATAAATGGGGTGGTTAAGTTGAAAGGACACATGTATCAATTGTTAGGTAATCTTTTTACTTTTGAATTTAGACTTCACTTTTCCAGACCTAAAATTGGTGTAGTCCTCCCCAAACTGATGCCCACCATTTGTGTTAAACTTGAACACTTTTAACTAGACAGGTACACTGAAGGCAGAGGGAACCAGAATAAAATTACTCAAGAATTCAACATAGTTAACACACATCCAGGAAAATTAATATGAATCAGAGCATCATGCCAAACCATAGAATATTTGATATGCAGGGGGTGGAGGGAATGCTGTCGAAAGTATCCTAGGTTTGTGAAACTATATTAACCATAGTTTTTGCTATGGTTAAAGTCAAATTTAACAGGATTTTACTAATTCACATTGAAAAAGATTGGGGTTTTTTTTTTTAAAAAAAACCCTCAGCTTTAAAGCATTTTTTAAATTTTTAAATTTATTATTTATTATTAAATTTATTTGCCACCCATCTTGCAGTTCGAGATGACAAATAAAAAAGAAGGTAAAGAACAAAATTTAAGACTGCTACATATATACCAGAATGTTTTAAACTAATTCTTAAGAGTTCCCAGAGATCATGGTAGAGAAAATATATAAAAATGATTTGTAGAATTATTGAAAATCGTTGAAATGCATAAACTGACATACTGGCTTTTAAGATTATCATTCAGAATTAACTTATCTTTGAAAGATGTTACATTTACTTAATTAATTGCGCATATTAAATGTGGTCTGAATTGGTTTATAGATCACTAGGACGTTTTATGAGTGATTGCCACCTGCTGGCCATTTTTCATCAGCCTTAGAGATTAATTCCATGTCAAAATTCACCAAAGAAATATAAACTTCTATTAAAATGAATTCAGAGCAATTTTTTTTAAAAAAAATAAAAATTAGGCTAAGTTACAAGGAAACATTCTATTTGTTAGTTTGGCAGTCTCTTTGTTGATGTGAACCAACAGGTGCCAGTATCTAGCTCTAGCTAACCTTGTCTAGGCTCAAAAGCTAAGTAGGTTAGAGCTTGATTAGCATTTGGATGGGAGATCTCCAGGTAATATCAGCAGTGGAGGCGAAGCTGGAACATCCAGATGGCAATGGCAAACTACTTCCCAGATGTTGCCAAGAAAACAAGGATGCCAAGAGTAGAGCTTGACTTGAAGGAGATGTTATCATTTATTCATGCAGTAGATTGATTGAAAATGTGGCGTTAATTAATTACAGTGAATCTAGTTAAGGTTGACTGAAAGCTAGCTTCTTAAAAAAATAAATTATAAACTATATTCTTACACCTCTCCTTTCCTCTCCATGACTTCTACTGTGTAATGTTAGCATTTGAGGTACTGGATGGGCCATTAAAATGGAGAAAACTCAGCAAGCCAATTATGTTTTTATTGATTAAAAAAATTAAAAGAACTATGCTGCTTTAGAACCAGGTGGGCAGCCTGCTATGGTCCAAATATCTTGAACCAACTCCATCATATCAAATTAGCAGGGCCAATGGCTAGAGAATGAGTCTGAAGCAAAAGCCACTGCTGCTTACAAGATATGATCAAGGCATCACCTAGTGTAGGACTTGTCTCAATATACCAAAGTACATCAAGAAGAATATAGAAAGAAAAGTGGACTGGTGGAAGTGTTCAGCTTTACTGTAAATGACGCCGATTGTTTAAAACCATGTCTTCCTAGGACTAGAATGGCTTGACACATGCACTGATAACATATTTGGCAAGAAGAGAAAGTGCTGCTACTCATCCTTATGAGACTCAAGGAGCAAAAATATTATTGATCAGCACGTAACTATGAGGGTGGAAGTCCTTAAAAGTCAAACTAAAAACGGTTGCTCCATAGATGTTTCCATAGATGTTTCTCCTACAGATAAAACTGAAAAAAACTTCTAATGAATGATGGCTTTTACATTGATGACATATAAAACAACTCTGAATTGTCACTATTCCTTAGGTCTGCATTGGGATAAATGGAGAGAAAAAAAAGTATTTCATAATGTTACTTCTAAAAGATGTCAATTATACTCAGAGTCCCAGAAGACTCTGCATTAAAGTTGATCATTATTTTATTCCTGTATTACACAGAAGAGTTATTAACTAAGAAATTGGTAGACCATGAACTGCTAATTAAATTGAAATACGTTTGGGTTTTTTTAGATGGTAATATAGTTATCATTTTATAAAATAAAGTTTCCTGTATTCTGATCTATTTAATAGGTTATTATCAATAGCAATCACCAAATTCACATATTCCATTAATTGCACTAATGTAGTGAATAGTTGCCTGGGTTGTCAAAACACTAAGCTATAAACCATAGTTCACAAACCACAGGGATTAAAGTTTACAACACCCTCAGTCAATGTTAAATAAACCACATTATGATTCATCAAGATACGTGAACCTAATCAATATGTTGATCTTTATTTTGTAAAATAAGAATATTTTAGTACATCAGATTACCACCAGGAGATAAAAGGCCCAAGGAATAGAACTACGTAAAGTAGCATTCTATAATGGTATGTGGGAAAGACCTTGAATTATGGAGTAAAGAGATGCTGCCAAGGGAACGCTCAGATAAGAGACAGCATAGTCCAGAGATGAACAAGGGGCAGAGTAAGAGGCTCAGAAGGGACCCTCCTTAGTTTCTCAGGCTATAAAGATAGCAGGAGAGTTATACTTTAAGATTCTGTTAATGTACCCTTACAAAAGTAGCTCATCTGTTCATTATTTCCTGTCTTGTTTGCCTCCTTAATTTTACTGCTTTCTTCTTTCCTAATGAAATTCGGTAGCCATCTGGCCACCTCATTCCAGAAAACTTATGAAGCAGAGGAGGCAATGCTATGGATCCCATCAGTCCGATTATTCCGGCTGACGGGGTCCAGGAGGAGGGCTTTCTCTGCTATTGCTCCTACCCTCTGGAACATCTTGCTCCTTGATATGAGGTTGGCCCCAATCCTCCTATCTTTTTGTAAGGGCCTAAAGACGTGGCTATGCCAGTCGGCTTGTGGCCCTAGTGGGGGAACAGCGTAATGGAGGTGGTTGATTGAGTAATAACAGATCCCACCCCCTTCCGCCCCTGCCCTCCTCATGTGTCCTTGTTTTAATGTCTTTTTATATTTTAACTGTATATGAAACTGTAAGCCACCTAGAGTTACCCTATGGTAAAATGGGAGGTCAATAAATTTTATAAATAAATAAGTAAATAAAAATAAGTCTATATATAGTTTAAGAGCAGATTTTTTGTAGTACTTTTATTACCTGAAAATTGTAAAAATTAGAGTATTTTTATGACCAGAAATACAATATAGAAGCTTTACATTATATAATATCAATCACAACTCCCTTGCCAGCTACACAGGAGGAAAGTATCACATGTATAAAATAATTATTCAATTAAGGGGAATCAATTATACCATCCATATTGCTTCATCTTAAACACAAATGAACCATAGTTTTGCAGTTCCGTTAATTCATGTAGATTTTTTAAAGATAAATTCCTAGTGTCAATTCCATGGTGAGTGTTCCAGGATTCTTGAAGGATACTAAACTGAATTTTGCTCAATTTAGAATGATTCAGAAGTTAATAAATCACAGTACTAAGGTTACATATAGAACTGTGTCAACAGCATAATCTAATTGCCTTTGTTTATCCTCCTATCATTCTTACTCAAGGACTTTTCCAATTTTGGAGTTCTGAAGCTGAAAAAGGAAAGAATTCAAATGTTGAATAGTGGGGGGGAGGACTGTTAGTGGCTAGTTCATACATTGTTCTATTATATTTTTAATTAAAAAGATCCAAATGATCAGTATTTGTCAGATTTATGTTAACCCGATATCATTCTATGTCCCTCAGTCAGAGAAGAACATTCTCTTGCCTTCCAGATGTTTTAACTCCTGGATGTTGCAACTTCCACTATTCCTAATCGTAGGCAATGCTGGCTGATCACAAATGAGTAGATTACTAAGACACTACATGTCCTATAATTTCTCAAAGCTACTGTCATGTAACAATGCCTTCCTTTCATATATTATTACCATAAAAGCTGCTTATCACTGCAAACTCTCTCACAATGATGAAATATATGGTGGAGCCTGTGAAATAGTGTTGATGTTGGATTTTGATGCTTGTTTATAGTTTTATCCTGACTTCCAATCATATATTTGTTCTTACGCTGTTTGGATAGCAAACAACAATTTAAAAATGCAACCTAGAGTCATGACAATGAGATGGATTGCCTTACAAACCTAAATAAATATATATATGATAGTCTAGTAGTGCAAACTGGTGTGTTACAGATATTTTGAACTATAGCTTCTACATGACGGGTCAGTGGGAGCCATAATTCAAAATGTCAGAACTAACTTGCTTTTTCAGTGGAAAGGATCTTTGTGTAACTTGTCTTCTGTCTACAATTTCACCACACATAAAACAACAAATCTCCAAGCAGTTTGGATGTTATTTGCATGTGAAATAAGAATGAGTTACATTGGTAAATGTTTACATGTCTATGTATGAAAACAAATGGGGCAACTGTGATTTAAATAAAATGTGGTTAAAGGCAAAAGAGGAAGTAGAGCAAATCAATCTTTTAGCAAATACTTTTAAATATATACAGGTAGTTCTCTGCTTACAACAGTTCGTTTTGTGACTTTCGAAGTTTCAATGGCACCGAAACAAGTGACTGTTTATGACTGTTTTTCACACTTATGACCTTTGCAGCATCCCCGTGGTCACATGATCAAAATTCACACACCTGGCAGCTGACATGTATTTATGATGGTTACAGTGTCCCAGGGTCATTTTGCAACTTTCCGACAAGCAAAGTCAATGGGGAAGCCCGATTCACTTAACAACTGTGTTACTAACTTAATAACGGCAATGATTCACTTAACAAATCTGGCAAGGAAGTTCGTGAAATGAGGCAAAACTCACTTAACAGCTGTCTTGCTTAGCAACAGAAATTTTAGGCTCAATTTTGGTCGTACGTTGAAGATTAGTTCTATAAAACTGTATTAAAACTGCTATTGTTTCTAGCACGTAATGTCAACCACTACATAGAACCATGGAACAATGGTTTTTTTTGTAGCTTTACACTATTTGTTTGTATCAATGCACACATATAAATCTCTGGAACAAGCAACACTGGAGGTGTGACATCTCTTCATGGCCCTCCTAGCATATTGATGGGTTCCTAAACCTTGAGACTTTTGACTTTAGCACGATCATTTTAGAATGGAGAAATAAAATAGTTAGAACTAAATTATTCACACACCACAAATGCTTTTTCTTTTAGAAAGGTGGCATCTATGGGAGGAATTTCTTTAGTCCATCCTTTTTGTTAGCATGCTACAGTTCTAAATTGTTTTTGTTTTATCTGAAATAATATTTATAGATCACATAAATATTATGTGTTAGAGTGTGTCCGGGGAGGCTGCAATGCTTCTCTGAATTCAATGTGGGACAATCAGAACAGACTTTGCACAAATTAATGGACACAAATTTGACACCAGGATTCAAAACCAGGACAAAGTTAATATCAGAGCTTTTCAACTTTCCAGGACTAACTTTTCACTATTTTGGAAAATAGGGCTTTAACTCTACTATTGAGCAAGAGGTTACTGACTCACACATCAAAATTTCAGAAGGTCTCAAGAAATACAATGGGTTTTTAACACAATATGATTAATTGATAAAATCCTGGTCCCATCTTTCCCTCTCTTCCCTCACTGAAATTTAAGTCCTAGATCAGTCCAGTCAATCCACTCACAAAAGTATATGCCATGTAATAAAAGGTGTTAATTGGAAAACGTGTTACTAGACTTTTTGATTTGATAGAGTAAGCAGTTATATATACATGTACGGATGCTGCATATCTCTCTATAAATGCTTTCATACAGATTAGATGAAGAAGATAGAACTTATTAACATATGTGAGCTATAACTCCGAAGTGTAGTTATAGAAAATGTTTGCATTTTGAGAAACCCATTAAACTTGGGACCTACTTCACAAAGAGACGTTCTAAAAATGCTTCATTGTGTATATATTGTGTAGGTTCAGCAAGTCCTGTTCCTAGCCTGAATCCAAAGCTCCACTTCTACTAGGGGAGATATTCCTGTTTATAGAATTCCCTGTAGCACCTCCAAAATTAATTCTGAAAAGATTTACAATCCAATGAACTTCCTCATATTCTCCTGAAAGCTTGTCAGAAAAAAAAGCAGAAGGTTCAGTTCTGTTTTGGACTATCTGCAATTTATCATGCCAACTGAATTTTAAACTGGTTGATTATAGTAAGTGATCACAAATCAGATTCATAAATTGTGGTTGAAGTTTAGTTATATCCACCAACTAAACAAACTATCATTTATCTGGCTTCAAATGACTTGGTGAGCTATGATTAATTTTAGCCTGTAGTGAAGGCTTTCCAACATCTCTGTGGCCACACAGGAGAAGGAAGGACGAATTTATAATCTTGGGAGCAAGCTAGTCTTAATCTCATAATAAAAAAGCAATTGTTTTTGTTCAATATGCCATCCAGTTCAGTCCATTCTTGGTTTGCTCTCTCTTACTATTCATGAAAGTGCCATTGTTCAGCTTGTTATTCATATGCATAATAAGCCTGCAATAATTTTAGAAAGGAATTAATGAGCATTCACTAAAATTATTCATAGGTTTGGAAATCTAGGATAGCAACATGGCTGAATGCCAATCTTTAACAGGAAAAGAAACAAGGGTATTCAAATAGAAAGGATTTTTTTTTGTATGTGGCATAACACAGATGATTAAAAAAAACACCCAAGTTTGTATAGATTTTTAAATAGGGACATTGTTTCATTAGAAATTGTGTCTATTCAAAGGATGATGTGAAACAAAGCAGTGCCTTTAGCAAAGCCAAGCAGTCATTTAGCATGGGATTTCAAAAACTATAATATCAAACAACTCTGACAGTTTTCCTACTCCTGTTGCACATTAAACCAATCAGATTTATGTTTCTGGAAATTTTGGGATTTTCCAAGATGTATCCCTCTTCTATTTGAATGGTGTTATGCTGGTAATGTAAGGAGTCCCATTTTTAAAAAGGAGATATGTCTAAATAAAAAAAATGTTACAACTATTGTAACATTGAATATATAGATTTATTTATGAGTTCACAAAAGAGGATCTTTGTTATCCAAAAGTTGAACTGTAATTTTACACAGAAATATATCAGTATTAAGTTGTCAAGCCCAAAACCAAGAATGACACATGGTGATTCTCCCAAGCTGAGTTCTTTATGGTTTTTATTTCTATAGACAAAGTCTTGACAGACTGAGGATTGTACCATTTGGACCTGCAATATACTCTGTGAACTCTCTGGGGTGGGGAGGCTGTCTTCGCCCTTTTTTCCTCACACATGACATCCGGGCTGAGTTGCCTCTTACTCTTCCTGGGACTCCACCTCCTTACTAGATCTAATCACAAAGCTATATATATAATAATGTTAAGCCTGAGATGCTGAAAAGAACGTATCGTAAAAATTACCAGGTCCTCATAAAAAGTAGTTATCAATCATCAAATCTGGTTGAGTATTTCCCTACTGGAAGACAATCCACATTTTGAAAATTATATGCTAGAATCCACTGGAGTTGGGTGATAATAATAGTAATAACAGAGAGGTGGGTACAAAACAGAAAATATACTTTGTGCTTCAGTTGTTTGGACAATTTTAGGGTTTTTAGGTGGTGTTTGGTCTAGACCAGGGGTAGGCAATCTTGGGTCTTTTATGACTCGTGGACTTCAACTCCCAGAATTCCTGAGCCAGCATGGCTCAGCTTGGAAACCTCTCCCTTTCCCCTCAGCATAGCTGGCTCAGGAATTCTGGGAGTTGAAGTCCATGAGTCATAAAAGAGCCAAGGTTGCCTACCCTTGGTCTAGATAAACCAAAATGGAGAGCATTTTCTCCTGACCTCTTCTAATTGCCACACGCTGCTATTGGTGGTCTTACCTCTTCTACATTATCACTCATCACAATACACTTCTGCCTGGATCTGGTTTTCTTCAGACTGGGTAGAAAGAGCAATTGAAACTGACTGTTTTGGGCACATCCCTAATATAATAACGCTTGGGCTATTATGGTACTTAAAAGCAAATTGAATCAACAATTAGCACAAACACCAACACATTTCTGTAGAAATCTAATTCACATACTTATGAAACTTTACAGCTATAACATTGTCCAAAAATTATATATTTTCTGTTGTTGTAAAATTCTGGGCATGCATTCATACAATTGTTGAAAAGCCAAATGCACTCAACAAATAAAACTGTGCATTGCTAATTTTCTTTAGGTTTTGGGGGACAAAAATATAAATCTTTTATTGATACCTTTTATCACAAGCATTTAACCAAGTAATATGAAGTATAAACATTCTTGCAATAATTCTATTTTAACAAGAGCTTTGCTTTTTCTATTTTTATATGTGAATACCAGTCTTGAATTAGCATCTCACCATCATTTAAAACAGCAAAACTAATTTCTGCTTCTATTCCCCCCCCAGAAGGTTTAATAACAGGTAATAAAGAGAGGGAATTGAATGGCATGCATTTAAGTTCTAAGTGGAGAATAATCTTTCCAGGCCAATTTTGTCCTCTGTAGTTTTCTTAGCATAAAAACATTAGGCAAGGTAAATTCACTCTTAATTTCTCACCACTCAGAATATATACTTTAGATAAGACTATCAAGAGGTTTAATTAATAGCTAGTGCCAAACATTTACCACACAACAGGCACAAAATATTGCTGCCCAACTAATAAAGTCAAGAATTACAAAAATGAGAGCATGCTAGGTACTTGTGGACATTTAAAATCTCTTTTAAATGAAGTTTCTAAATTTGCATCTCTGCCCAAAAAAAATTGTTAATATGAGTAGTTAACTTACTGCATTGTGTGATTTTCTGTATATTAGATGTTATACGTTGGGCCAACTGGTTAGCATCCCCAGCAGTGTTTGCATTATACGCCATGGTGTATTATAATTCCACTAAAGTCATAGAGTTCAGGGACCACTAAGCAACAACACCTGAAAATAAAGAAACACAGTTTAAGGACTTATACACAACGAGGAATTGTGCTTAGTTAACCCACATTAACTAAGTCCTTTCTAAAAAAAGAATTTAATTTGAAAAAAAAAAAGTTAAAATACAAAATTACAGCAAAAGAGAAAAGATGACAGATGGGAACAACAGGGAGAGTTTAAAATTTGACATTAAAAAAAAACCAAAATAAATAAGTTACTTCCAACTCTCTTCAATATCAATACCATTATATAATAAAATGAACTCTTGTTTTAGTTTAACAAAAGATACGAAACTAAAAATATAAAGACAATCAAATAACAGCAACAGTATGCGTCATAATCTCCTAATTTGAATAAAACATATAATCCATATATGCATCATATTTTCATTCAAAAACGCACATTACTAGGTATTTCTATAATAAAAATCTATAATAGGACATCCTCCACTTTCAGATTAGCCAAAATATAAACACTTAAGATAAAAATATTCATATATCAATCCCCAACAATACACATTTCTATAATCAGGACAACCAAATCATTTTTTAAATCAGTAACAGATACACAAATATATATCTGCATAAACAGAATGCCAAATATTAGTGTTGGGTTCCCATGTAAAAATATGGTTCAATACTAGCTGTAACATTTTTAAAGAAATATTAAATTCCCATTTTAGTTATTTTTCACATGATTCTATATGGTTTGTTTTTGGTAGGCTTCCCATTTCTTCTGAAATATTTGCTTTCATTTTGGCATTTGTAACCCTAAGGAGGAATAAAAGCTTAGCAAGGAGAGAGTTCAGGAGAATGAGACATTGAGGACAATTAAGACTTTTGGCAAATCCCAAAAGAATCACACTNTTCTGCCGGAACGCGGCGGAACGGCGTTCCGGCACCTTTTTCCGGGCCGGCCGCACCGGAAATAGCCCCTCCCAAACCGGAAGTAGCCCCTCCCACATTTTACTTGCATCTTTTTTCTAAAGGGGCGGTCCTAGGGTTTGATGGGGGCGTGGCCAGGTTTGAGTTCCGCCACCTTTTCGCTGAGAAAAAAAGCCCTGATCACACTAATAGATAAGGACAGCTAGATGGGGAAGGAAGACACAACTCTGAAAAACTGTCTATGCAGAGAAGACCCACACATTTCTATACAAAGATGCACTTGAACAAATACATATCTAATACAGATTGAACTTATCAAAAAGAGATCCAATCTAGAACTAAGAAGAAATTTTCTCGCAGTGCCTCCAGAAGTTGTGGGTGCTTATCACTGGAGACTTTTAAGAAGAGATTGGATAGCCATTTGTCTGGAATGATATAAGGCAGTGATGGCGAACCTTTTAGAGACCGAGCGCCCAAAAACCGCTGCCACCCCCACCACGCTCCACAGGGCCACCCAATGCCTCTACCGCCCGCCGCAGACCGCCCAGCAGCACCATGCTGGCCACACCCTCTGCCCACGCCCTGCATCATCTGCGCGCAGTGGGGCGTGAGGGTGGAGTCTTGTCCCCACTGCCCGGCTGCCATGTCCTTGGCTGTGCTGCTCCATGCGGGCCAGGCCTGGGGGTGACTCTCCTCTGGGGGGGCTGCTGGTAAGGAGGAGCTGCAGGGTAAGCGGGGCTGGGGCAATGGTGCGTGTGCCCACAGAGAGGGCTCTGAGTGCTGCCTCTGGCACGTGTGCCATAGGTTCACCACCACTGATATAAGGTCTCCTGCTTGAATAGGGGGTTGTACTAGAAAACTTCCAAGATCCCACCCAACTCTGTTATTCTGTATTCTACATCAATGTTCCCCAAACTGTTTATCTTCCAGGTTCACTGAATTATATAACGTTCAGATATCATGAAGGATAAAAAAGAAGAGAATTGTTTTTGCCAATTTCAAGAAGGTTTATCTCTGCAAACTTACCAGTTTGGTGACTGTAAAAAGCTTTACTAAAATCTATTTGTCAGATGTAGTTTTTTTTTAAAATGAAAATATGTCAAGAAGTAGCTGAGATACTTCTAAGAAAGCATAAGACGGATGATCAGAATTAAGTAGCCTTCCACCCAATTTCAAAAAAACATAGCAGAAGCCACAATAGAGATACGAGCTGCCGTTTTTCAAACCTATTTTTAAGTTATTTTTCAATTCCTTTTACTACAATGCCATCTTTGCACATGGTAGTATTTCCTCTTTCTCTGCTTTCAGTCTTTAGCAATTTCTGCAGAATTGGCTTATGGAGATAAAAGAAGTTTTCCACAGACTTATTGAACTCATTAGATCAAGGTTTCCTTCATCCTAGTGCAGGGGTCCTCAAACTTGGCCACTTTAAGACTTGTGGACTTCAACTCCAAGAATTCCCCAGCCAGCATGTCTTAAAGTGGCCAAGTTTGAGGACCCCTGTCCTAGTGTATAAGGTATTAATCTCAAAAAATCAGCAGGTCTTCTTTAAAAACACAAAATATTTTTTCCTGAAATAAAACCAACCACCACCATCCTATCATCCCATTTCCTTTTGGGATAAGCAACATATAGTAAGGTGAAGAAATGAAAACATATACATATAGCAAACATGTGGTATATAGAAACACCCTTCACTGTGCCTCTCTATACCTTTNTATTAATCTCAAAAAATCAGCAGGTCTTCTTTAAAAACACAAAATATTTTTTCCTGAAATAAAACCAACCACCACCATCCTATCATCCCATTTCCTTTTGGGATAAGCAACATATAGTAAGGTGAAGAAATGAAAACATATACATATAGCAAACATGTGGTATATAGAAACACCCTTCACTGTGCCTCTCTATACCTTTCTATCTTTGCAGATCACCCTTGTTTCCACTATATCCATTCACCATTTTAATACAATAGGTTTTTTCAGGGCTTTTTTTCTCATAGAACGCCCAGAACGGAGTTCCGGCACCTTTTTTGGATGGAACCAGGTTGTATGACATGTGTGAGTTCTGGCACTTTTTTTTTTTTTTTTTAGAAAAAAAGCACTGGGTTTTTTCCTTTCCATCTTTGGACTTCCCATCTCTATCATTTTCAAGAACTCAAAAAAAATTCAGCTTTCCCAGTCTCCCTCTCCCTCTCCAACAACTAGGTACTTCTTCCCTTTATTTGTTATGAGAGTTAATCATTCATTCAGTTTCCTTGAACAAACCACTTCTATACTGGTCACTCCACAATCATTCAGCTCCCATTCATTCTTGATCTACTTCTGGTTTTACTACTCCGTTCTTAAGTGCACTCAATTTACCTCTACATTTCTCCTGACGTGCTCCACTGCTCCTTTCATTTAACAAAAGAAGCAGAAGTATGCTCTCTTAGGCCTATTTGCATTTATTTTGACATTCATTCCTCACCAGGGATCACACACTTGATTGTATGCCATTAAATCAGTTTTGAATCTTAAGTGACCACGTAGATTTCCTCCATGATGGATCACTTGTATGTCTTACAACAGGGGTCTTCAAACTTGGCTCTTTTATGACTTGTGGACTTCAACTCCCAGAATTCCTCAGCAAGCATGCCTTTTTCTCCTATTCAGAAAACATTCTACCAATATACAAAATGCATGGGCCTGCTCTAGTAATTTGCCATTTAGAATAAAATAGAATATTCTTTATTGGCCAAGTGTGATTGGACATGCAGGGAATTTGTCTCTGGTGCATAAGCTCTCAGTGTACATACAAGCAACAAGTGATAAATCATAATCATCATAAAATACATTTTATGCATAGCTATACAGTTTTCCCTGTCATAGCAAACTGCCTTGCCTTCTTGATAAATTCATTTTCAGATCTATATGCTTCTTGGCATCATGCAAGCTAACATATGTTGCAAATTATTCACGATCTAGCCAACAATATTGCACCAATTGTAAACATGAACATTACACACTCACATGCACACCCAGTCCCCTTCTAAAATCACTACATCCTTTATACTTAATTCATATTATTATTATTATTATTATTATTATTATTATTATTATTATTATTATTATTATTATTATTATTATTATTATTATTATTATTATAAATACATTAAACAACCATGATGATCTTTCCTTCCTGTTGACTGTTGAACCATCTTCAAGTTCTACATTTATTTTCACTTGCTTTACTTCCATATAGTCTTTCACTTGCTTTACTTCCATATAGTCTTTCACTTGCTTTACTTCCATATAGTCTTGTTTTGAATTCATTAACTCACTCCAGTTCCATCTAAAACTTTCCAAAATCTGAAGTTATTCACTTTATTACATGTTTTCTCTAGTTCAACAAATGTGGAGTAAACTTTCTCACGTTGATACATATCTCAGTGCCTAACACCTTATTTCCCAACTGTTGCTCTCTGCCTTTCACTCGGTGAAAGATTGTGGGGAGGCCACTCCCAATATAAACTAGTCCATTGGCAATTCAACTTATAAATCACAATTCAGCACAGAGGCCACGAAATCTAGGACAAAGCATTTCAAATCATCCAAAGAGGTTCTGACTTGATATAATGAAGCTTATAAATTCCTTCTGCAGTTTCCAAGTTTTTGCATTTATCCCAAAATTAGCATAAGGATTCCTTACTAAAGTCTGTATAGTTCTCACTTCTTTGATCTTTGATCATCAGCTGTGTGGGTCTTGATAACATCATAATTCCACCAGATGTCTTCCCAGACACATTTAACAAACTAATCCTCCATATCTTTTGCATTTACTCTTGCTACATTTTCTTCTGTATAGGGGGAACATACTTCTGATCGTCAGACATGAATCCAGTCTTTGCACACCTAAAACAAGTTGCACAGCCATTCTGTAAGCAGCCCATATCTACATTGTAAGGTTTTTTTCAGGTGTACCATGTACACTTGCAACCTGGTGGTTTTCAGCATTTTCATAACACGATATCTTTTCAAATCTGATTAATAATTCTCTCAGAATGAAGACAAAGACAATCAAAGAAAGGAAATCTGGAATAAAAGTAGGCAGTTGTTAAATCCATAAAATCGTGTTTCCAACAGGCTATAATACTGTATGTAACATTCCAGAATTCTCAGAAAAAAAACTCTAATAAGATCACTGGAGCAATTCAGCAAATTACCTGAGTAAAACAAGTGCACTTTAAAAATATTCATTTTAGCTTAATTATTACAAAGAACTCTTCAACTAAATGATTATACAACAACCAGGAGCATCAGAAATATGTTGTTTGCATAGTTAGCTATCCTAAAGCTGGAATTAGGTTCAGATTTTATTTTAGTTAAAAGAAAGCAACTAAGGTATTTTAACTAAGAATAATAGAATTGGGAGGAACATTGGAGATCTTCTAGTCCCTGCTCAAGCAGGAGACTTCACACTATTCCAGACAAATGGCTGTCCAATCTCTTCTTAAAAACTCCAGTGACGGAACACCCACAACCTCTGGAGGCAAGCTGTGTCACTGATATTTTGCTGATGGACTATCTTACAAATATATTGGGAAATTTTAAAGTCATAGATTTATGTTTCAATATTCAGGCCTTTTCTGAACTTAAAGAGAGCTTATAAAGTTCATCTCAACTGGCAAATACACTGGATGGTTGCCTTGCTGAGAATGGAAAGGCAGCTTCCATTAATGGGGGGAGTTGAGATCTTACAGAAGTTTCCCTTTGAAGATTGACAGGAATGTGACATCTTACAGGCCAATATCCCTGTAAGCACTTACATTTTCCATGATACTCTGGATGATATCACCAACCCTCTTCAGAGGTCCTTGCCCAAGAGGAGGATATCTACTACATTTGTGGGCCTCAACTGAAGTCAAATGTAGATGCTACTCCTTGGCTGACATCATACATACCATAGTGTAATGCCATTGTTCATTGATTTGCACTTTGCTAAATAAATTCCAGTTGGCTGATTTGCCCATAACACATGACTCTATAAATCATGCATTATAAACCAGTATGGGCGGATTCACACCAAGCCAAATTCAAACTAACCACATTATAATTTAATATCATTTAATGAAAACAGCCATTGTTTCAAACTGCAAGACTGATTGCACAATCAGCAGAAATTCACATACCTTCCTTGGTGTCCTACTATTATTCAGTGATACTCAAATCAGAATTGCTATCAATCTAAAAAAACATTTAATATTAGTTATACTATTGACGAGATGTGTGTAAACAGCAATGTACACATTTTCAACATAGGGGTTTATTCAAATAACTAGTTGAGATGCCAAACTGACTAAGCCTTGATCTTGAAAAATACTTAAGTACTTACCTAAATATTTTGCAAACATTCCTTCAATTTCAAAAAGCATCTCAGCAAAAATGAGCTGAAATTTCTCTTCCACTCAGATTAAAAAAACAAAAACAAAAAGCCCTCAAAAGACTACAAACTAAAAGAGCGTAAAATCATATGGAGGATGATTACCTGCACCTTTTCTAACCTGTTTTTCTACTTAGGAAGCTATGAGCAATTCTTCTGGTCAATCCAGCATTCATTTCCCACACAGGGAGGATGCTGTTCAGCCCTTCGAGCAATTAGCACTGAGAAACCTACTACTTCTGATCCTAGGTTTAAGATGCATTCATTACTACTATTTATATATATTATACTATATATAATACACACACACACATACACACATATATATATATATATGTCTCTAATTACGTTAAAAATTCAAATCCTGGGTAAAGCCATGCAGTAAAAAACAAATAAATACGAGCACCAGGATAATATCAAACTAGAAATTGTTTAATAAAAATGCTGAGTTTTCGTCGGCCAGCACTGCCGACATCATCAGAGCAGTCAATGGGAGTCCCCTTTTTATGATATACTGTATATATATGTATACATACACACACACAAACATATATAGGCATATTTATACATATGCTTATACACTCTGCCTTATTGTTAAAGCAAAACAAACACTAACAAGATACACTGAAAACAAAGGCTTATTAAGTTTGTCAAGCTAGTTTAGGAGCTATTGACCACCTTCTACCATGATTTTGTTTAATCTCCTCTTAAAACAATATAAGGCTTCCAACACCACAGCATTTTCCCCCCAAAACACAACAAGGGTTAAGTTAATCATGGGTCACATGATTATAAATTTATAATAGGGGCTGGGCTTGCATATCATAAATACAGTTGGGTTCAAATGCATTGGTGTTCCAATATGTCAAATAACTCCAATTATTAATTTTAAATCTGTGAATTAATAAGTGAACTAGAGGGTTTTTTTCCCCTCTAAGAACTCTTTCATCCAGCAGCCTCTTCCCTCATTTTCTAACCTTCTTCCCATTGACAGGTGTGCACATTAACTCTCAAGAGAGAATCACTGCAGACTTTCCCAATCACCCTGTTTTGGGTAGGGATAGAAGAGGCAGAACGAGGATGTCAAACTTGATTCTTTGCAGTCCAGACTGGAAACAGTTAATTCCAAGGAAGAACCAAATAGTCTGATTAATAGTATTCTTGGAAAGATTAAAGTTACAATACAAGAATACCAGTGAGTACTCTACATTCAGAGGAGATACCTATATATAAACAATTTAAAACAGAATTATTCTGTTTCCTACTAGTAGTCTTGCCTCTTTAAGGCAATCAGCATCTGTTATCTGACTTAGTAACTAATTATCAATGTGAAAAATAATGGCAGGGAGGGTAAAAGATATCTATCTCATTTCTTTCACCATCCTCCAATTGCATAGTTCTTTGTCCTTCCAAGCCACACTTTTCCAAACAAGGTTCATTTAACATGTTATGTGGTGATATGGTTTGTGAACCCAGGCAACTGCAATTAACCAGGGTTAAACAAACCAAAAGCCCTACCTACATATGACAGGGTAGCTGTATTGAACTAAGAGGAGTCTGGTTCACTTAAAATTGAGGCGTGCTGGCCTTTTCACGGTTGATTGATCATGTGGCATTGATCATGTGCCATCATGAGTGTTTCCCACTCCTGGGAAAATCACATAAATTGAGCTAGATTTTCTCCATTTCTTTGGCCTTTTCATACCAACAATGTACTCCATAGCAAACTTCTATAAGTTTGCAAGCAGCAGCAGAGACTTTAGCAGCAGTGGCAACCTACAAGAACGCAGACTCCCGCGTAATACCCATGCACGGATTTATGTTTTCGCACACGCTTAATGCTGTTTTCCCTTCCTCCGAAGGCTTTTAACCCATAAAGAGCCACATTTTCTCTACATTATCACCATCACATGACTGCTCCACCCAGAGAAACGAGGCGCTGACAAAAGCCAGAAAGGAACGGGCGATTTTGCCCTGGCCTGGCGGTCAACCACATGGGCCCCCACACTTCTCAGGCACCCGCACCCCGCAATTAATTCCCTTCGCTCCTCGCCTCCCAGGGATGCTGCAAACAAAACAAAACAAAACACGTCTCGGTAGCGCAGAGCCGTCGGGGGCAGAACTGGCTCTCCCGTCCAAGCAGGAAGGGAGGCGGAATTCCACAGCACCGGGAAGAAATCGAGGGCAGGAAAAACCGAGGAAGGCCGGGCAGAGACTTCGCCCGCTGGTAGGATAACCCCGAGAGGAAAGCGCAGGAGCCAAACGTATCCAAGGAGGAGGAGGAGGAGGAGAGGGAGCAGGATATGCAAAGCGCGGGGGCTACTTGAGGAAGGAGGACTGCGGGCTCAGACTAACCTCGAGCTCCCCCAATGTAGGGGGAAATGCGGAACTACCGGCCAGCGCAAGCAGCCTCGGTGTTCAGCTGGAAAACTGGGCCCAGCGGAGTCTTCGCCTATCTTGCCTTTCCCCCCCCCCTCCAAAGAGAGGGCACCCCCGCCTCTCCTGCTCCCTTCTCCCCACCATCCTTCCCTCGGGATTGCAGTAGTTCTGCACCGGGGCGGTGGCCGCCTATGCTACGCCACGCACACAACCCGCGTGGGAATGGAGGTGGGGGCAGCAGAAGCAGGATACCCCCCCCTCCTCCTCTCAATCCGGCTGCACTAGTCGCCTCTTACCCCAAAGCCCGCAGCTTCGTGTCCCTGGGACGGGTGGGGTGGGGTGGGGTGGGGAGAGATGAAGATGAAGCCAGCTGTCCCGGTTCCGGACTTGGATCGTCCGAGCGCTCAGCTGATCCGACACGGTGACGGCCACTCCCCTCAACCCAGCCCAGTTACTGCAGCAGCAGCAGCAGCAGCAGCAGCAGCAGCATTCCCGGAAAAGGAGGAGATGGAAGCGATGCAGGCCCCGCCTTTTTCTTTTCTTTTCTTTTCTTTTCTTTTTTTCTCTTCCCCTCCGAAAGACGCTTCACAGCTTGAGATTTTCGGTCGGCCGTACCTGAGCCGGGAGAATTAAACCCGCGTGGATTACAAGTCCACACACACACACACCCCCGCGTACAAATCGCTTGCGCGCGCAGGTGTTTTCCCCCTGGCTGTCCGGGATTCTGTCCTAATCAGCTCCTAACTACAACAATGAACGACTAGGGCAGGGGTAGGCAACCTTGGCTCTTTTATGACTCGTGGACTTCAACTCCCAGAATTCCTGAGCCAGCTATGCTGGCTCAGGAATTCTGGGAGTTGAAGTCCACGAGTCATAAAAGAGCCGAGGTTGCCTACCCCTGGACTAGGGTTATGTGTGGGAAAAGGCGGTGGATGCAACTAAAAGTGTCTCCTCGGAATTCAAGTTGCCGCCAAGTGTCTTTTAGCTGCCGGATCCTTTAAAAAACAACAACGACGAAACATGACACTAGCGGAAGGTAATACAAACAGTACAGTGTGTGACTTCTGAGCCTTCCCTTCCTTCCCCCCCCCCTTTTTGCTTGTGAATAATTCTACATTGTCAAAGAACAGAGTGTTTTTTTCTGCCGCTGTACAAAACGCTGTGCACCTCTAAATGCCAGAACAATATGGCATTGTTCAACTTAAGACTTATTCAATAAAACAATAATTGTTTACTGTGCTGTGTGGTGTGTGTCAGCCCGCCGAATCTTGTGCTGTATGTATTGGAACATGTTTAGTGGGCCGCATTGGGCCGTCTTCCTTTTCTCATGTCCTGGTTCCCCCAGTGAATGTAGGTCCCTGAAACAGGAATACAGGTAGTCCTTAATTTACGACAATTGAGCCCAAAATGTATGTTGCTATGGGAGACAGTTCAGTGAGTTGTGCCCCATTTTATGACCTTTTTCGCCACAGTTGTTGTGAATCACTGTTGTTAAGTTAGTAACTTTGCTGGTCAGAAGGTCGCAAAAGGTGATCATATGACCCCTGGACCCTGCAACCATCATAGATATGATGCCAAGCCTCTGAATTTTGCCAAGCCTCTGAATTTTGAGTTGCCAAGCCTCTGAATTTTGATCACATCACTGTGGGGATGTTGCAATGGTCATAAGTCTCTTTTTTCAATGCCGTTATAACTCTGAACGGTCACTAAATGAACTGTTGTAAGTTGACTACACGACAGCATCCTCCACTTGTTTGCAGCCCACTGGGAGGGCAACCACACAATCAGATGTGTCCCATTACAACTTTAATCATCTCTAAGTCTCTTTAAAGTTATTTCCATATTTTCTCTTATACAAATCTTTTATTGCCTTGTTGCTGTAGGTCACGTGTGTCAAACTTGCTACATCACATGACGTGGCATGACGTATTGTGACTTTTTTGGCACTGCCGGAGCTGGGCTGGGCGTGGCCTCCGTATGATGCAACTGGCCCACCGGCCGGCAGTTTGACATCCCTGCTGTACGTGCTCTGTTAGCTACTGTTGATTTTAATTTAATTCATTTAAACAACTGTTTGAATATTTTTTATTTAAACAACTTACAAGTCCTTACATCTCATAAAGTGATCTTAGGCAACTGCACATGTTTACATAATCCGAACTAGACTGTGTTGTTTCTCTGTGTCATATAATGTGGGTATATGTATAATTCTGTATTTATTTATTTTTGTCATATTTATGTAGTGTATATTGGAGGTGGTGACCCTTTGAGAGCTGTATGCAACAAAATTTCATTTTAATGTATGCCGATTAGTGTGTACATTCAAAGTGACAATAAAGTTATTATTCTATTCTATTCCTGAATCCTGACTGCAAAAGGTCTAGATCAGGGGTAGGCAACCTTGGCTCTTTTATGACTCGTGGAATTCAACTCCCAGAATTCCTGAGCCAGCCATGCTGGAATTCTGGGAGTTGAAGTCCACGAGTCATAAAAGAGCCAAGGTTGCCTACCCCTGGTCTAGATAATATACTTCATTTGGGGTCCTCTGAGCCTGAGAGATCACGACCCTCTCAAAAATCAGTTAGTGGGGTTTTTTTGCATTCTTAGGTAAAAAAAACATTGAAGACTAAATATGATGGAATTTGTACTCTAAAATATCTGAAGGTTAGTCTGGGAAAGCTATTTTAATAGTTTTGTTTTTGTTTTTATATTGTTAAATTTTATATTATCGATATATTATTTATAAATTTTAAAATATTAAATTTTATATTATTAAATCCAAATTCTTACAATTAAAATACTGGCGGGCCAATATTTTTAAGTAAGTAGGGTAAATGCATTGATACAAACTGATATTTAGATCCTGTGTTAAGCAGGTTGGTTCTTGAATTTTCATGATGGCTACATAGACAGTGTTACAATTATCACGTTGGCCACCAGGTGGCAGACCGATAACATCAATAAGCTGATTTCAGTCATTGTGTTTGGATTTGTTTCCTAATGAATTTAGAAATGTTATACTGGTAATCTTCGATTTATGACTACAATTGAGCACAAAATTTCTGTTGCTAAGGGAGACAATTCTTAAGTGACTTTTGCCCTATTTTATGACCTTTCCTGCAACAGTTGTTAAGTGAATCACTGCAGTTGTTAACTTAGTAATACGGTTATTAAGTAAGTCAGGTTTCCCCATTGACTTTGCTTGTCAGAAGATTGCAAAAGGGGGTCACATGACCCTGGGACACGGCAACCGTCATAAATATGAGTCAGTTGCTAAGCATCTAAATTTTGATCACATGACTGGGGGGATGCTGCAACGGTCCTAAATGTGAAAAATGGTCATAAGTCACTTTTTCCAGAGCCATTGTAACTTTGAACGGTCACTAAATGAACTGTTGTAAATTGAGATTTACCAGTGTACCATCAGGCTACTGAGGCTTTCCAATCTTGTTCCTAATTTATTTAACACATTACTAACTTATCCTATTATGGATGAAAAGAAATAAATGTGGAGAGATTATTGTAAGAATAATCTTACAATTATAAGAACAACAGGATAACAGAGTTGGAAGGGATCTTGAAGGTCTTCTAGTCCAGCCCCTTGCTCAAGCAGGAGACTCTATACCACTCTGGACAAATGGCTGTCTAACTTCTTCTTTTTTTAAAAAAAAGTCTTCTTAACTCTTTATTGAAAAGACATATATGAAAATGAAAGAAGAAATGCAAAATAAAGTACAAGACTTTGTGACTGGGGGAAAAAAACCAAGAGAAAAAGACCAGTGTTGACCTCCTTGTCGCAACAAGGAAGGCTAGAATGGCATTTTAGAAGGAGTGTTTCATAGAATGCAGGGTGGATTTGATTTAAATCAAATCAATTTAAATCACGATTTAAATCACTAGTAAAAAGGCTTGATTTAAATCAACTCGATTTAAATCGTAATTTTTAAAGAACAACTGTCATCTCTGTTCCGCAGTGGCTCCTTCTACCTGTTGTTGACTCACCGACAGTCCCACTCACTTTAATGGGACGGCCTACCCCGCTCATCCTCCGTAGCATGGCAGTCCGGCTCAGAAGGAGAGTGAAAGGGAAGGTCACCAAGCAAGGAATGGTGGTTGTAACTTTGAACGGTCACTAAACGAACTGTTGTAAGTGGAGGATTGCCTGTATTTGAATAAGATTTGAAGAGGCCAACCAGAAAATAGGCTTCAGTTTATTTCAGAGTGAAATTCTGGGCAGCTAATACAATAGAAACATCAATCCAAAAATAAAACGAGAGAGCCAGCTTGGTGTCGTGGTTTCAATGGAACTATTTTAATTCAGATTAAGCTTGAATCGAACCAATGCTGAACCCCGGCTGAAAAAGAGGCCTTTATGTGTGCGGTGGGAATCTGATCCTAAAAACCCAGTAGTGGTTCTGCCTAATGGCATGCAAGAATGGAATCTTGAATAAAATGTGGCTGTAGACAATCGGCAAGTAATATATCGAGAGAAGATGACAAGCAAGTATGAAATGTCAGCAAGCTGTATAAATAGTACATCCAAAATGTCATCTAGCCACAAGGGGGAGCAAAATATCACAGTTTCATAAAGTCCTTTTCATAGTTAGCTAATACCGTTCAATGATCAAGTGTGTGGGTGTGTGCGCCGTGCGCACAAACTTTTACTGTTTATTCAGTCTGTTTTAGATTTTGGTTTGCTAGATTTACAGTATATCCACCCTGCCTTTCCTCCAAGAGCTTAAGTTACTTTACAACAAGCCTCTTAGATATATTGAAAAAAAAAATGGCCCAATGATATCAACTGAGGTTTCTGGATAGAGGAAGCAGAATGACAAGAGATGTCTCTTATTTCCCATTGTTGTCCTAGGCCAGGGGCAGGCAACCTTGGCTCTTTTATGACTCGTGGACTTCAACTCCCAGAATTCCTGAGCTAGCATGGCTCAGTTTGGAAATCTCTCCCTTTTCCCTCAGCGTGGCTGGCTCAGGAATTCTGGGAGTTGAAGTCCACAAGTCATAAAAGAGCCAAGGTTGCCTACCCCTATGATTTAGGCTAACATTTTAGCACTATTTTATACTGGTTATGAATTTCTTGTTAGGCTGTGTTGTTATCAATAGGATTAACATTCAGAAACTGCTTCTCACATTTTCCAGCTGCATCGAAGACAGCACTCCTTTTTCATGCCTAGCCTGATTTTAGCAAAGTTTTAAGACTTATCTGAGACTATTCTGAGTTTCTTTTCAGAATAGCAGAACTGGAAGGGACCTTGGAGGTCTTCTAGTCCAACCCCCTGCACAAGCAGGAAACCCTATCCATTCCAGAGAAGTGGTTGT